ACCGTCATTAATGATGATGCAACTCTTATCACTAATTACAATGAATTTTTTCCTCTAAGCAGGCTAGTTGTTGTTGTTGTTGTATTTAATTATGGCAAAGCACACTAGGGCTATCTGCCTAAGGGGAGGAATGCCTTCGTGGAGGACTTTCTAAAGGAAATTGGCTCGTATACACGTTACACATGGGGAAAACCACGAAAACACCCATGCAGCCAGCCCGTTCGCCGGATTCGAACCTCGGACTGAACTACCAGTGTTCAGCGACGTTACCGCTCGGCCGCTGGTGAGCCCTAAGCAGGCTAGAAATGAGTTCTAATTTGTACACTACACAAAAGTAAACGAAAAATCTGAAACATTTCAGATTTTAAATTAGGTCCAAAGGGACGTTTTTTTTTTTTAACATTTTGTGTGTTACCTTTATTTATTAAGTATAAAGTTCTTCGCATTTAAACCATAAAATTCAGTTCAACAGCAATATCTCAAAATAATTTTAAATTGAGCATATCTTTAGAATTTCCGATGCGCAATCACACGCGTTGGAGGTAAATGTGTTTCATTTCTGTACAACGTTGCCATCGCTCGCTTTCAAATCCTTGAGTTTGTTAATCAAAAATTCGTTAAAGTTTTAAAAAATATGAAATCGATCATATAGCGAATTCCAAATTTCAAATTTGGGCTTTCAGATGTCCATATTCGAAGTAGGATTAGGTCATTCAAAACTGGATGGCTTTAGGTACCGTTGTTTTATCACTATGCGAGAAACATACATACATTTATGCATATCTTCATTGTTTAATTTCTTCAAATATAATACATGCCGATAGTAGATAGTATTTGACAACAACGATTTGAAAAGTGATACAGCCTTTTAAAGTTTTCAATGCAAAATCGCAAAACGAAAACAATAGTCCTTCAGTGACAAAGCTCCTTTGGACTAGAAAAAATTCTATATCTCCCGACAATTCTATATCTCCCGTTCTACTCGGCAGATTGACGAAATTCAAATTGCAATTTTCATGTGTCAAAAGCGTGACTTAGTATATGTATTAGATTTATATATAGCATTGTTCTAATGTAGGTATTTTGACACAAAATCGGACTTTTTCTGAAATGACATGCCAATTTTTTTTCTATTTTGGTTCTACGACTCAAATTATGCCTAAATATTAAATTTTGTAAAATTTCGTGAGAAATTTAAAAATTTATCTTGGCGCATTTTTTTCAGTTTGCGCCAAGAATACACTTAACGTTGTGTCAAAATACGTATAGTAGAGCAATGCTATATATAAATCGAATACATATCCCAGGTTGTGCTTTCGAGACATGAAAAACGCAATATGAATTACGTCAATCGGCCTAGTAGAACCGGAGATACAGTACTGTTTTTTTTTCCCGCAGTATACATGAGCCACTCTTGTCTTGCGTATCTTTTCTAGGATGACGGTGACATCTCTAACTTACATATTGCATCATCTATCTATTTTAGTAATTATTTAGAGCTATTAGTGGTTCTCGGAACAGAAGACATGAAGAATCAGCGATGGCTTCGCCGAAATTCGAACTCTGGATTTTCGGATTGCTAGACTCCATTTAATCACAAGAGTACTTAGCGCAGAAGCCGAAAAGTTGTTTTAAGTTTAATTCTGTCGCAACTTCCATTCATTTTTCAAACGGGGAAAGTTTTTGAAATCAAAATTTTTGTGATTAAAAACTTCTGCTTTGGACTTATAATCAATTTAATGAAATTTATTTTAAATATATGACTCTAAACTTCTAACTATCTTATAGACCCTTACAAGGAACAAGGAAGACTAATAAGGATTCAATTTCGAAAGTCTAATTTTTGAATAAAATTCTATCAATTTTCAAACTGTGTTTTTCAAAAATGAAAAAATTATTTGAAACACAAACTTCATCCAAGATTTGAGGCCTATCAACTATCAAAGATATAAAATTAGCAAGTACAAAAGAATCCCGTTTATTCGAGTTAATGCGGATAAGCTGCCTTACATAAAACGCAAGACGGAAGGAATTTTGTAAGAAATTTTGCTAATTTACATGGTACAATATCAGTAAACAATGAGTCTTATTTTATCGTTTACAAACACAAATTCATCTTCTGTTTTAACAGAGCGAAGCGCACGTAAAGCATTTGTCCTATGTGTCTTTCAAAATAAAAACCTAAAAATTCGCCAAAAATATCATGGCCAATTTTTTCTTAGTCATGAATATTTATTTTTACATATGTGTGTGATGCATTCGCATAAAGAGATCTTTGTAAGACCTCGAATAAATTACTGTTTGCATTGAAAGATTGCATAAAGGGGAATTCCCTGTTATTTGCATCTTCGCGTCCTTGGACGTAATAAAGCACTCATCTTAAAACACAGCGGGAGATATTTTAAGAAGTCAAATTCATCAAACAGATAAAAAACAAAATATTTTGGTTTATAATACAACATTAGTTTAAATAGAATTTATATCCGTTTATCTTTAATATTGCGCAGTTTCAGAATTAAAAATTTTCATTAAAAAATTAAATTAATTTCGATTTTTTTTAAATTTTGATTCTTACTGAAAATTCCATAGGTAATCTCTGAATAAATATAACTACAAAAATTTCATATTATGCACTAATATATGATTACCTTCATTAAAATGATATTGGTTTTTGATAAAAACTCTTCCATGCATTAACTAGCTACAGTCGGCAAACGCATAATTTGTGATCATGTTTGACCATGACTGTTTTGATAACATTAAGGGATGAGAAAAGTATTGTTTGAAAGTCAAAGTAAATTAGCTAATTTACCATAAATATAACTAGAAACGTATAAATACTTACTTTCACAGCATTTTAATTAGAAGAAAGTCCTTAACAGTTGTTCGTCTGGAGTTTTTACGCAGGAACTCATTTTTTAAGTGTTCATAACTTTTCTGGAAATTATTTGACCAACCTCTAATCTTAATACTCATAAGGTGTCCCTCATACGAGCATTTGTAGCAGATTCACCAATTTTGTGTCGTCATGTTCTTTAGAAAGTTTATCATATGATGTGCTTGGATTTGTTTCAGAAATCATCAGACAGACATCTTTTTCAGTCATTGAATTTCCAGGTTAAGATTTTTCACCAATATTCATCTAAGCGTTAAATTCTTCACAGTTCATGTTAGTACGAGAAGTCTTCAGTTCTTCATCTTCTTTTATTTTGCCGTTTATTAAAAAGGTTGGCATGCTTTAACGCATTTCTTTATTTTTTTTCGTGGTTTCAAAATTTTAATGTTGCCTTAAATGAAAAATCAAGATACTTGGTAGCTTAATCCATTTGGCGAAGCTCTAACATCTGGCGATCCCTTTGCTCATTTTTGGCTATAGCTGGTGATTTTATCTTTCATTTGCCGACATTACTACAGTTTAAAAAAATTCATTCAATGATATTTTGATAATATTAACCGACTTGTTGATTACAATAAGTGATGTATTTTCCAAGTTTTCGTGTATAAATGGGCGGGGTCCTCGACAATTCGATAATAATATCCGAATGATAATTTTACGTTTACATGTAGATATAGTCGAATGTTTATATTATATCATACATATTTTTATTGCTTATATATAAAAGGCTATCTAAATATCCTCATACATACGGCAATGTAAAATGCTTATGTACAACAAAAATTTAGCTATCACGTTTAGTTGCGTCTGCTGCAGTAAAAATTATCGACAAGCAGAACACGAAAAAAACCTCCACTTACATGCTGATAGTGATTTTAATTTTATATTTTGCACCAGAAGAGCTAAATTTTTGTTGTACATAAGTATTTTGTTGTAGAATTGTTTAAGAATTCAGAAGCGAGAGAAACTGCCATACGCTTAGCCATAATGGAAAGTAATGGAAGGTCCATAATGGAAAGACGAAGGATCCTTAGGAAGTCCTATTTTTCAAAATGTTTTTAATAAATGCTATGCCATATGCAAAAATGACAGAAATGGTTAAGAGCGAAAATATGCTGAATATTTCCAAACAGTATTCCTAAATGACACTTGCTAACGGACGGCACGCAAGTTCGGTCAACAAGCACATGCGGAATTATTAAACCACTGGATGCCGGATTATTGGACTTTTGCTGTGTATGGGTAGAAATATAGTTTTAATACAGAAAGAAATGGTAAATACCGTATTAAAATTAAGTTTCTTATATCATTATAAGCAATTAAATTTTCGATATGTATTCCAATTAATTTTTATTCTAAAGTAATCGTTTTAGAATTTTAATTACACTTTAAAGTTAATTTTGGATTTTGCGAGTCTGGAATATAATCTATACTAATGAAAATAATTCGAAATTTAAAATGCAAACCTTTTCTTTCATACTCTTTCAGTTCTATGGGAGAATTTTGGTTTACCTTATATTGATATATTATACCTATATATCCGCATTTATATTCGAATTGGCAAGTATGTGTATGGGGTAAGGATTAATCTGATCTTTTGGAGGCTTCTCATCTTAAAACATAAGGTATGTTGATTATTATTTTTTTTTTTTTTTAATATTTGAGGACAGTTTAGAACGAAGCCTTTGTTGGCTGTTGCCTCCTCGTGATTGCGACTTACTCGACCCCATAAATCCGCCGCTGGTAATGATATCATTGAAATTCTCTGTTTGAAGAAAATGTTTAAATGTGTGTTCTGAATGCAAATTAATTGCCAGACCTCAGATCCTGTCAAAATGCCACAAAATGGGGAAAAAATTGATCGCGACTAAAAACACAGTTGCGTGCAGAAAATATTTGTAATTATTCACCGTCGTTCGTGCTCATTGCTTTAATCGTAAAAGACGACTAGTAACGCATTAAGATTGGCAATGAGTACATTACGCAGCGAATTCATTCTATTTTATTCCGATGGAGAAGACTGTGCGTGTATGAACAACTATGCTGAATTATAGAAATATTCGATACTATCATGAAATCACAAAATACTGAAACTTTTCTTATTTTAAAGCGCATCAAAATGAAAATAGTTTCTCGTTACGAAAAGATAACATTGTTTATTTGTAAGTGTTTTATACTGCTCAGGAAGAAAATATATATTATAATTTAAAAATGCATACACTTAATTTTTCTTTATTATTTTCTTTTAGCTCCCGACCCTAACAAGCCCCACAAGCACACGATGAAGTGTGACTGCGTGGACCGTCTAGTATCATACATGTTTCGAAGTTTGGGATGGATGGTCGGCAAGAAGCCCGGCTATTTTGTTATAGTTCCTATCCTTATCTCGGCCCTTCTTGCCACCGGCATGCAGAGGATCAAATATGAAGCAGATCCAGAGTACCTCTTCAGTCCAACAGACGGCCCAGCTAAGCACGAACGATACGTCATCGAAACTCTCTTTCCAATGAACCTGTCCAAGGATTTCGATGTGGGCAGGATGACTCGTATCAGTCCTTTCGCGAGGATTATGATCGAGGCGAAAAATGGAAAGAGTATCTTCGATAAGGAAGTCTTCGCGGATTTGAAACTCATAGATAGAATGGTGAATAATATCACGGTGTGGCACAACCACAAATTATGGAAGTACAAAAACATGTGTGCCAAGAAGAACAGGAAATGTTTCGAAAATAACATTTTGGAATTTGAGGACCGATTAGATGATATGGCCAATGGCAAATATTCCATCGACTACCCTCTCATGATCAACGAGGTTACATTCAAAGTGTTCTTCAGCGCCGCTTTCTTAGGTGGCGTAAAAACAGATGAGTTCAACATGATAGAATCTGCCAGAGCGGTTAATTTATTGTACTTCTTGGAAACGGGCCCAAGTAAAAAAGAACGAGCGAATATTTGGGAATCAGCTTTTTTGCAAATGATGGAGGATGCTGATTTTGAACACCTTAATGTGGCTTATTATACATCTCTCACTTTGTCTGAAGAACTAGAAAAGAATACAATTTCGGTATTGCCTCTATTTAGTGTGACGGTAGTCATTATGCTTGCATTTTCTGTATCAACGTGCATGATGTTGGACTGGGTGAAAAGTAAACCGTGGTTAGGTGTACTTGGATGCTTTTCTTCAGCAGTAGCCGTTGCTGCAGCTTTTGGATTGACCGTCTATTGTGGATTAGAGTTCATCGGACTTAATTTAGCTGCCCCCTTCTTGATGCTCGGTAAGTGTTGCATAATTTATTCGTTTTCATCCTTACTTAAAATTAGTCATGTTTTTAATAAGGAACAATAGTGTTTTCTCATTATGTTTTAAGCAAATATCATTATGAAGCACTCATTTGCAAATGCATGTTAGTGAAAGATATCCTTTTTCGCATATAGGTAGTTAACAAAAATGACGGAGGAGAGAGAACTATTCTCCATTTTAATGTATTTATTGTCGTGGCAGTAATGTAACCAGCAAAATATTCGAATATCGTCAGTCGATAATGATAATTAAAATTTTATTAGAATAAAAGCTTTGGCATATATGTTACCGGCAAAATCTGAAACGCCGGCATAGGCATTCTATAGAATGCCGGATTTCAAACTTTGCCGCTAACATATATAACATTTGAAAATCAGTGAGTTAATATAGGGATTTTAGTAAACTCTTAGGATCAAAAACTGGTAAAACGAAATGTAAGCTAAATATCAAAAATCAATTTTTTCTACTAGTCAATATTTTGTGAAAGGAAATAATTTTATACATTATTCGCATTATTCTAAAACGAAATTTTAAGTATTGGAAATCTGTTGAATAAACTATATTTGTACGTAAAAAGTCTTAAGTCAAGGAAGTAATTTCTGAATTTAAGTTACCCTTCTCAGCTGAAGCTTTGTAATATTAATTAAAGCAATAGAAATATTATATAATCCAAAGCTCATACAGCAATTTCTTTCTTATAATTAATTAGCTTCATTCTTCAGAAACAGTCCTTTCAGAAAAAAAGAAACAGTCAGAATCTCGAAAAACGTTATATCAGAAACTCGCTAATTTTTTCAAATATCAATAAGCGTCTTAATAATAATATATTGCATCACTTCTAGTAATATTATACATTAATTTACTGGAAAGTTATTTTACCACTTTTTTTTATCCTTTTATGCATTTATGCTATATTTACAGTTTTTATTTTATACATAATTTTATTTACAAATTTTATTTTTGTTAAATATAGAAGTCTGATAAAACTTACAATTTCTATAGAGGAGATAGCTCTCAAAATATCTGAGGTTTATTCATTAAATAATATACAATATTTTGTACCGCTTTTTAGTCATAGGTTTTTGGGTTTGCGACTGGTCTGATAGGCTTATTAGTTGGGGATCATTGGGAAAAATGGCGAATGTAAACCAGTAGTGTATTTCTTCAACCAATAGTTTTCTTTTTAATGCACTGCTGCATCAGCATTTGCGTTACTAATACAGATAAATAAACAAATAAGCAGCTTAATGTAATGCCCCACTTGCTTTAAAAAAACATATTAATTGAAGGTTTAGTTCAAGCTAGAAAAATAATATTAACACAGAGGCCGTCTAAGAAAATTTCATTTAAGCTGATATATAAGAATTTATATAGCAAGGAGGAAACTAACTGCATAGTTTTCTTTCACTCATGAGACTCTGAGTTTCTACATGACCTCTAAATACTTTTTCTGAACCTTTTTGGATTATTTGAACCTGATTGGCTGAAGACCTCCATCGTCAAAAAAGGTACACAGGACCGTTCGTAGCTGGGGTGCAGCACGTAAAAGTACGCAGGCTGCGAAAAATCAGGAACGGCCGAACTCTCGCGACACGTAGCCTAAATATTTTAAATTCGCTATAAGTACTTGTCATGTGTAAATACAGTTTGTCACATGTTAGTATCTAGTTAGTAAAATAAAAATTTTATTAATCATTGAACTTTTTTTTTTTTTTAATTTGGAGGTGGCAATCTTAGCAAAGTAAATAAGCGGACGGACAATGGCCTATTAGCATAATAAGTATAAAGCGGGCCGCCAATGGCCTAGGAATGGCCCTGAGGTACATCTTGCTTCCCCTTCCCCCCCAAAAAAAGAAGAAAGAAACTGGACAGTTCTATATCTCCCGTTCCACTGGGCGCGATTGACGAAATTCAGGTTACGTTTTTAATGTCTCGAAAACGCGACTTAAGACTTGTATTAAATTTATGTATAGCATTTTCTAGCATAGGTATTTGGAGACAAATTCGGACTTTTTCTGAAATGGCATACCTATATTCTTCCATATTTCGAGTCTACGACTCTAATTATACCAATGTGCCAAGTTTTGTAAAAATCGCAAGAGTAGTTTTTAAAAATATTAGCTCTCAAAATTTTAGCTTCTCAATGTTAATTGAATATGGCATATATTAATAGCTCTTTTTTTTTTTTTTTTTTTTTTTTTTTTTTTTTATTATTAAGCTTGGATTTTTTCTGCTTACTTCGAAATTTAATTAATTTCAATCCAAGTAAAATTCGAAACTATTTTTTGATTTGTTTTTAAAATTTGTATTTTTTAATAATTTCATAAATTTTTCGAAAAAATTTTCAATTGCAAACGGTAAAATTTAAAGTAGATGCATTTTTTAAAGTAGATGCATTTCTAAGCATATCTGCAAAAAAATTAGAAATTTTATTAAATATTTCCGAAAATATACGTGAATTTATATATTGGCGTATTTTGAAATTTGGCATAGTATCGCCAAATATTGTTTACGCACTTTGTTAAAATTATTTCAAAGAATGAACGAAGTGCCTTTTATTCCGCTCGTGCACAGTGAAAGGGAAAATAAAGTTGGTTAGCATAAATTAAGAATTTCGCCAAATGAATTATTCTTGGCGCAAACTAAAAAAAGTGCGACAAGACAATTTTTTAAATTTCTCAGTAAGTTTCTCGTCAAATTTTATAAAATTTAATATCTAGGAATAATTTGAGGAGTAGAATCGAAATATGAAAAAAATAGTTATATCGTTTCAGAAAAATTTCGATTTTTTGTGTCCAAATACCTATGTTAGAACAATGCTATATATAAATCTAAAATAAGGTCTCGAGGGCGAGACATATAAGTCGCGCCTTCGAGACATGAAAAACGCAGATTAAATATCGTCAACTGGCTCTGCTTCAAGTACGCTTTTAAGTTAATTTCACATTTCCAATTATAGATGCGGTTACTTTGACTAAAATATGATATTTGTTTTCAGTTCTGCCAACGTTTAAAAATTAAATATATTATTATTATTAAATCTTATGTTTTCTTAGATTTAGATTTTTGTAGCTCTTGTTGCAGTTACATTGACTAGATGTAGGAATGAAATGCCTCCAAATATGTAGAAACTGTTAGTTTTTTCAAATCAGGTAGCAAGAAAAGCTATCTATGTTTGAATTATGGGTTCGGTTGCCACCTGGACGTGTTTACCACTTACATAACGACAGCATACACGGAGAATGTGATAATTCCGTACATGTGTTCTGAGTCACTAATTGTTCTGATAATGTAGCTAAAAATAAAATACTAGCTGGCTCCGAAGCTGATATTTGGTATTTTCGATTCATAAAAATATTTAATTTACTTTACTGAGCTTATGTGCTTGTCAGATATTTATAATCATCCAAATCAAATGTTGAAAACATATTTTTAAACATACATATTTTTAAATATAGCAGATATATTTTATTAGGAGGAGAATCATGGGGGAAATTCATATGTGAATATCATATGTAAATTCTGCATGTAAATTCTCCTTAAGGGCTTCATAAAAAAAAAAACGCTATCCTTGGCAATTAATCAGCTTTTATGCATTTTCGAAGTTGAGAAGATTTAATTTCTAAGAGATTTCTAGAAAAAAATGCTGTATTTACACGTGGTCCATGCATGTTTGCGGTTTATAAATCATCCCTCCCCTATCTCAGACTATTTTTCTTTTTCTTCTCACTAACCTCTCTCATCTGAATTAGATCAGATCCATAGTGTATTAGCCTTCATAACTTCCAACTCAAAATTAAGTCTCTTCAGTAAATCTTCACACATCAAGGCAACACAACTAAGTAGATGTTGCGCAGTAGCTTCATGGTTTCATTTTTGGCGCAAGTGAGAAAACGTTTCAGTACCACGGAAATATCTGAGGGTCTCTAAAGTCAACTGAGCCAGAGACGTTTGGTTCTTCCTGTCACCCTTGAAACCAATAGCAGTACCAGGACCTGTACGACGATATATGAGTGTGTCGGTAGCTGTCGCCAAGAATTAAAGCCTTTCTTCTCGAGTTCAAAGATTCAGCATAATGGAAGCATGGGAGTACCCTCCTTTACTAATCTATCAGTTAATTAAAATCTTTTTTTCTCGACTGTAGTTCAAGCTAGGTTAAAGATTCAGCATAATGAAGCATGGAAGTATCCTTCTTTGCTAGTTTATCAGCTACTTAAAGCTTTCTTCTCGAGTATACCAAGCTAGATCAAAGATTCGGCATAATGAAGCATGGAAGTATCCTTCTTTGCTAGTTTATCAGTTACTTAAAGCTTTCTTCTCGAGTATACCAAGCTAGATCAAAGATTTGGCATAATGAAGCATGGAAGTATCCTTCTTTGCTAGCCTATCATTTACTTAAAGCTTTCTTCTTGAGTGTAGTTCAACGTAGGTTAAAGATTCAGCATAATGAAGCATTGAAGTACCCTCCTTTGTTAATCTATCAGCTATATTTTAGATTTAGATGAAATGGTATCCATTCTCAGACAGTTAGCTAATATAATATAAATTTTTGAATTGCTATTTTTTGACTGTTTTTCAGGATTTTAAGCAGTCTTTTGCTATTTTGACTGTGAGATTAGGTATGTCTACCATATTATAAAGAATTTGTGTTTAATTTGGTTTTTCAGAAGTTTCACGATAATATTAATAATTCTTAAATACCATATTCAAAATAACTTTTCGTACTCCCAATACTCGCTGGAAGTAACCGGTATCGATCTTATTATTGCCTGCCAAGTACTGATCCGAGTTACATTGCTGTCAAAGAGAACTGATGTGAATGACTGTATTAAAATTAAATTTTTAGTTAAATACTGTCTTGCTGACCTTTTTATCTACTTTGCCCTTTAAGTACTAATAATTTCACTAGTTCGCTATATTATTTTCACGCAGATTGTTGACAGGCATATTGAAATTTCGTTTGAAATATAATCA